CTGAAAAGCAACAATGTCAGTCTAGATACTAAGTTACATCTAATCCAGGCCATGGTCTTTGCAATTACTTGTTATACATCAGAGAGGTGGACAATGACTAAGGATGACAGAAGAAGAATCAATGTCCTAGCATAATGGATCTAGAGAAGAGACTTGAACATTCCATGAACTGCCAAGAAAACAAATAGGTCTTGGAGACGGTGTAACCAAGTCTCTCCTTGGAGGCTAGGATTTTTGAAGCTCTATCTCACATACTTTGAGCAGATGGCTAGGAGATACTGGTCCTTTGGAGAAGGATATATGCTTAAAAGGGTGGAGGGAGAGCACATGAGAGGAAGACTCTGGATGAGATGGATTGATACAGTTACTGAGGCTTGGTGTGTCAGAATTAGTAAGACTGGCTCAGGACAGGGCAGGAATCAGAGCTTCTGTACATAAGGTCACTATTGGTCGCAGGTGACTTGGTGGCACATAATAACAACAACATCAATTTCTAAATTGGCTCTGTTGCTGTGGTTGTTAGGAGCCATCGAGTCAAGAATGATTCATAGTGACCTGATGAAAAAAAGACCTGAATGTTATCCTATTCTGTGCCCTCCTCAAAATATCTGACATTACATTACAGTAGTCACTGTGTATGTCCTCCAAATTGGCTCTAGGTAACAGAAAATTAGCTGCCTCTTCCTTTATAATTACTTCTAAAAGAAATGACCATGTTTATATACCACATTAAATCAGATTAGGCACTCAGAAGTATATGCCTTCCATGTTATTCTGGTTTGTGAACATACTTGATCAGATGCATTTATGGACGACAGCTAAATGAAGATTATAAAACTGCTGAATTTACCAATTTATCTGTGAAAACTTTACAAGACTGGGAGAATTACAATAATACAAAGAAACAAAAATGAAACATTTATAACAATCTAAGAAGCTTCCCATGCAGTTAATTGAAAACACACTGGAGGGTCAGCTATGGGTAGACTCTGACAATACTATACACAACAATAACAACATGCAAAGCTGAGTGAAATTAGACATGGAAACTGTAAACTTACTAAAAACATACAAGAAAAACATCCATTACTATTTCATAATCATATTTCTTTATCTCCCTTTCTCTTTGTCTTCTTAATGTCTCCTGAGATGCTTTCAAAGTTATACAATTCATTTAATTTATTTGGTGAAGCTTGAAATAACATACGTTAAGAATGAAATTAATTTTTAAATTGTTTTTCATTGAAATTATGAAAGTTGCAAATAAAGTAGACCCTGGGATCAATCTAGTTCAAATGTGCTATTAGATAAAGAGATAAAAGTATAAGAAGATGGAGAGGTGTTCTTTAATCCTATTCCTCACGACAAAGAATACTAGAAGTTGTTACTCAAATTCGGGCTATTCCCTATATTGCCATACCATTCAACAATTGATAATACTACTCGTAAAGATTAAGTAAAACTATCTTCAGTTTTTAAATCAAGTGTTGCTTCCTCTCAGCACTCTTCAAGTATGCTTTTTCATCTTTTTCCTCTAATACATTGTTTAAGTCAAGTATAACTTTTAAATTCATAGTCATTTGTTTAGAGTAATAAATACTATTGAATGTTAAAATACTGATGAAGATCATTTAAAAAGGCTAGAACAGTATATATAGAGTGAATTACCAGAAGTTCAAGCAGCATTTAGAAGAGGCCATGGCACCAGGTATATCATTGCTGATTTCAGATGGAATCTTGACTGAAAGTAAAAGAATGTCTATTTGTGCTTTATTTACTATTCAAAAGCATTTGACTGCGTGAATCATGACAAGTTGTGGCTGAAATTAAGAAGAACTGAAGTCCCAGAGCACTTATTTGAGCTTATGCAGAACTTGGATCTGGACCAGAAGGCTATTGTGCAAACAGAGCAGGGAGGCACTGCATGATTTAAAATTCAAAAGAGAGTGCATCAAGGTTGTATTCTGTCATTCCATATCTATTAAATCTTTTTGGTAAGCACATTATTCAAGAGGGATATGACAACTCTATGAAGAGGAATGTGGCTAGAGGATTAGACAAGGACTCATCAATAACCTAACTTGCATTATGCAAATGATACAACCTTTCTTACGGAAAGAAATGAGGACTTCAAACACTAGTAGAATATGAAGGAATGCAGCCTTCAATATGCATTGCATCTCAAAGTCAAGAGAGCAAAGATCCTTACGATTAGACCAGTAGACGACATCATGATGGGTGGAGAAGAGATTGGAGCTGTCAACAACTTCATCTTGCTTGAATCTACAATTAACATCCATGGGAATACCAGTCAAGAATGAGGAGACATATTGCACTGGGAAATTCTGCAGTTAGGGACCTCTCCAAATTATTAAAGAGTAATAATGATTCCAGTTTGAGGACTAAGGTGCATCTAATTCTAGCCATAATCTTTCTGATCACTTACTATGCACCTGAGGTCTGGACAATTAATAGGAAAGAGAGAATAGGAATCGATGTCTTTAAACTGTGGTGTTGGAGAAGAGCACTGAACCCTCCAGGGAAGACCAAAAGATCAAATATATAAGTCATGGAAAGGGTGTAGCTGGGGTCCACTTTGGAGGCAAGAATGATGATGCTTTGCCTCATTTACTTTGGATATGTTTCTGTGAGGGGCTATTCCTTGGAGAGGAACACAATGCTTGGAAGGGTGGACTATCAGAGAAGAAGAGGAAGACTCTAGTCAGGTAAATTAACATCACTTTTGCAGTAGTCATAAAGTGTGTCAGAATGTGTGAAGATGGTACAGGATAAAGTGGGATTCAGATCCACTCTTGATAGAGTCACTCTGAGTCATACTGGCATCTACAACAACAACAAGGTTATAAATAAATGGGCAAGTAAAGAAAATAGTGTTTATTTACTAAGCACTTATTTATTTCTCTCAGTATAGATTACATCTCAACA